TATTATTAAGTAAAATAGATTTATGGGAAGGGGAAGAAAAGACTTTTGAGCTTATTTTAAACTTTCTCAAAGTAAGAAATCAAAATATACTGTTTGAGGAAAGTGGGGAAGGATTAAGCAGTCATAGATGCTCCACTTCTAATCCAGCTCCCAGCTAATGCAATTCAGAAAGCAATAGAAGATGGCCCAAGTTCACGTGTTCCTACCACTGGTACGGGAAACATGGATGGAGTTCCAGGCTCCTGAATTTGGCCTGGCCCAGCCCTGGCCATTGTAGCCATTTGGGAAGTGAACCAGTGGATGGAAGATCTCTCTCCCTCCATCTCTTTCTCTCGTCTCTCCATCTTTTTCTTATACCTCTCCCTTTCAAATAAATAAACAAATCCACACTTGATCTTAGCCAAAAGGCTGAGAAGCAATATAAACAAATCTTAAAATTTTTCTTAGAAATTAATATAAAAGTCTACAAACTGTATGAATCAAACATGTTATTCCATGAAAGTAAAAGATGAATTTTTATGAAGATAATCATTAGAAAACAATAACAGTCAAAATACCAAAAGGAAAGCAAAAGCAGAACACAACAAGAAACAGAACATACAGTAAAAAGAAAACTAAAGCATAACATAATAAAATACTTTAAGAGAGTGTATTTGGGATGGGCATTTTGTGTAGATGGACATAAAACTCCATGGGATATTTGTGTCCCCTATAGTAGTGGCTAAGTTCCAGTCATAGCTCTGTTCCTAATCCCAGCTCCTTGCTGGGAGACAGCACATAATGGGTCAAGTAGTTGGGTTCTGCCACCCATGTGGGAGAATGAGATTAAGATTTCAGCTCTTGGTTCCAACCTGGCCAGCTATTGTAGGGCATTTGGGGAATGTATCAGCAGATTTCTATCTCTCTGTCTGTCTCATTTTCAAGTAAATAAAATAAATATATTTCTAAATTTTTAAAAGGAAAGAGTGCTTTAAACATAAATCAAATTAGCAGAAAGAAAATAATCAATTTTATCAATAAATATAAATACCTATTGCAGTTGAAAGAGAGATATTATGCTTGCATAAGCAACAAAGAAAAATCTAACTACATGCTGTATAAAAAAGATACAACTAAGACAAAGACTAAAAGATGTTTTAAAAATATGGCAATAAAATGGACAAAAGACTCAAGTGTCTTGATTTAAAGGTAGAATTTACATGGAAGCTATTAAATAAAAATATGATACCTTATAATACTAAATTTCCATTTAAATTAATATAAACTTATTTCTATGAATATCTATGGTATGTAAACATTTGTGAAATAAACATAATAATAGCCATCTTCACAAACAGAAATTATAGAACATACAAGGAGAAATAGAAATACCCTAATAATAGAAGACTTTAATACATTTTTGAAAATCCAACATATATCTGGAGGGTATAAAATAAGTAAGGATATAAAAGACATTGTAATAATAAGGTAGAATTTTTCAGATTAAATATCAATGTTTACACTATGATATTCTCTAATACAATCTTCTTTTCACAAATCATTCATGAAAATCAATCAGATAATAAACTACAAGATAAACCTTAGGAAGCTACAAAAGGAGAAATAAAAACAGCATTTTCTGAGTGAAAAACAATAAAACAAAAAATGATTAACAAAATTGTATGTTTAAAATAGTTTCCCAACTAGCAAATTTAAAACTCTCTATAACAAACAACTCTTGAGTTAGAACTAAGAGAACAAAAGCTGAAAATTTTTTTCAGAAAAAAATAATGAAAATATTACATATCTGAATCTATAGATTATAGTTTACACAGTGCTCAAAGGAAAAAATAGAGCTTCAAAGTCATATATCAAAAAATTGAAAAATTTAATAGTGGTGACAAATGCAACAGATAAAACTGAATTAATAAAGATAAACACAAAATTGGTAAGTTTGAAAACTAATAAAATTAACAAATCAATACAAATTTGTTCTTTGGAAAGCAAACTGCTAATTATTCAGAAACTTTAAATGGAGAAAATAAAAGAAATGAGTAATTTAAAGACAGAAATAACTAGAAAGAGAGGAAATCTTAAAAATATAAAAGCCTTCAGAATAGACATTTAGCCTAGCAGTTAGGATGCCTGTATCCCACTTTGAAGTGCCAGGGTTTGATCTTAGCTTCTGATTCTAGCTTCCTGCTAATGTACCCCTTGGCATCCGGGAGTGATGGCACAAGTAGTTGGGGTTTTGCCAACCATGTGCAAGACCTGGATTGCATTACACCTCCTGGTTCTAGCTCAACCTGCTCCTTGTGGATATATGGGGAGTGAACCAATGGATGGGAACTAGGAGCTAGTTTCCCTTTCTCGCTCTCTCCTTCTCTCTCTCTCTCCTTCTCTCTCTCTCTCTCTCCCCCCCCTTCTGCCTCTCAAAACAAAAAAAAAATTAAAATACTTAAAGTTCAAAAATACAAACACTGCATAGAAAATTCTATTAATATAAATTTCCAAAATCTACATGCAATAAATAATTTTTAGGGAAACAATACAGAGTAAATGGAAGTGATTTAAGACTGATGATTTGGGTAGACCAATCTCTATAGAGAAAAACAAAAGGTTTTTCTAAAAGAAATGTTCTAAAAGAACATTCTAAAAGAATGTCATAAATAAATACCAGAACTACTTGACTTCAAAGGAAAATTATACCTAACCATTGTTAAGACTTTTTATTTTTAAGATTTTATATTTTTATATAAGATCTTATATTTTTAAGATTTCCTCTCTTTCCAGTTGTTTCTGTCTTTAAATTACTCATTTCTTTCATTTTCTCCATTTAAAGTTTCTGAATAATTAGCAGCTTGCTTTCTAAAGAACAAATATGTTTTGGTTTGTATCTCAATTATAGATATTCTTCAAACTCTTCAAATTGTTTCACAGCATAGAAAAACACAGGAGAAACTCCAGGATATTTTTGAAGGAATTATAACATTGATTCTAATACTTGAGAAAATTCCACAAAAATTACAGATCAATATCCCCAATGAATATAGATACAAACTCTAAATTATTGTTAAGTAAGAAAATCCAACAATACTACAAAATAAAACATGTCATATCCAAATATGGCTTCTTCCAGAGATGCAAGAATGGTTCTCTTTTGGTAACTCCATTTAAAATCTTGCCATAAATGTAATGAAAAGAATAACACCCTTACTCTCCTAGATGATGACTAGACATTTTACAAATTTCAGCACTCTTTTCGTAATACATGTGAGTCACTGAAAACTTCTTTAAAATTATAAGGCACAGGCAACTCAACCAATATGTCATTATATGAATCAATGAGGAACACTGGTGGCATTCATGTCAAAACCATAGGTAAGTCATGGTGTTCAGCATTTGTCTCCTTTAATGATATGCTGAAGATAGTAACCAGTACATTTAGATGGGAGTGGTAAATATATAAGAATTGGAAAGGAAATGTAAAATGATGTTTATTTTATAATATAGTACTTGAAAGTCTCCTGAGTCAATATGTAAGTGACTGCATGCTAGGACAAATCACTTAAGATAGGAGGATATCAAATTACTGTAATCAGAAAAAATCATTAGCCTTCATATATACGGAAAATAATCAGAATATGTAATAAAATAGCAGCAATAATAAAAATATTAAATAGAGGCAAGAGGGGAATTTTTTAAAATACTCATTAAAAAACAAAAATTGGACTGAAAAATGAAAATGCATATTAAATTCATGGATAGAATGACTCAACATAAGTCAGTTATCAATTCATTGTAAATTAAATTATAAAACAAATGTCAATCCAATAAAAATTCTGAAAGGATTTTTTTCTGGATGTAGACAAATTGTTCTAACATTCATATGGGAAAGGTTTCAGGAAATAACTTCTTGAAAATTAGTATCAAAAGTAATGGAGCTTTACCAATATTAATTGTATGTATAAAGGACGTGATTCTGAAGGGTGGCTCAAGCATCAGAACAGACTAGAAAATCCAGAAATAGACTTTGGCACATAACAAAGCTTAGAAAGTGATTGAAATGACATGTTAAATTATTAATGAATATATATAGTTTTAAATAAATGATTTTAAAACAGCTAGAGAGTTGTTGATAAAAAAGATAAATTAAATGTATACTTGTAATATACACCAAAATAAACTTAAAGTGGATCAAAGTTTCTAAAAAATGAAAAAATACAAGTTCTGGGGAGGAGGAGCATTTTATTTACATTGCAATGGTGAAAACTTGTGTAATTATGACTTAGAGATTCAGAAGTATCATAGGGAAAGATTGATAAATGTAGCTGGATTTACAAAAAACCTTTTATAAAACAAAAGTTACAAAAACATAAAAGATAAATTATTTTCTAGAGAAACTATCTACAATATATTATACAAATGGACAATAAAACGAAAAAAGTAGAAATTGTGCAGAGGAAATGGACAGTTGACAGAAAAAGAAAGGCCCATAGTACGTAACTATATGAACCTTACTCATAAGAAGGGTAGTATAAACTGAACTCAATTACCATGACAGACATAAAGAAGACTGATTCACTCAATTTGCCAGGTTTTGGGGTAGTATAAAACAGATCAAAGCTTATCAAGAGAAATTTAGCATATGCATTTACTCTTTTACCCATAAATCTCACTTATAGGACTATTTTGTGCAGGGATATATGTATACATATGTGAAAATATTTGTACAATTCCTTTTGGCATTATTGTAATGGCCAAATTTGGAAACAACCTAAATGTCCAGCAGAAGAGGACTGGTTGAATAAACTATGGCATCTCCCAGTCAAATGGATTCCAAAGCAGCTGATAAATTCTGTAAGGCAACAAAAGGTGACATAAGCTTTGAGATTCTTATATAAAATCATTTTGCGTCAAATACAAATACATCTTGGAAAACTGAATAGATATAAAATGTACTAACATTATTACAGTAGCAGAATGAGAAGAGCATTGTGTTCATGTTGCCTTTTACTTACGGTTTACAGTTTTGACTGGTAATATGGGGTTTACCCTCTCTGGGGAGGCGGCATTTTCCTCATCTGTCACGTATTCGAAATTAATGATGAACATCATAGCCACACCCTCTTGGTTCTTCACTGGAATTATGTGAGTGTTACAAATGAAAGTAGACCCTAAGGAGATGAAAAGTGAGTGTTAGGTCAAAAATAAGCCTTCATTTTGACCAGCAGTAATATTAAAATAGAACATACCCCTACAGAATTTTCTATGTTAAATAATCACTGAAATTTAATAAAAATAATATGACATTTAATTGGTATTTTATGGAGTATTTATTTACTTAAAATATGCATTGTTGTCAGAAATAATACAAAGAAAATTCAGTCATTACCTTGTGGAAAACCAAGATATCAAATCCCACTTGCTTTCACAACTGTTTCCATAATAGTTCATATGGAAAAAAATGTATTACTTAGCATTCAAGAAAACACTCCTAACCTTTCTTTATATAGTTTTATTGTATCTGGACCTATACAAAATATAGCTGTATAAAAATGATCATAACTCATTTTTGTCATCTTGATTTTAGCAATAAGAAAAATAAATTATTTCCTCTTTGTGTCTTCACTTTCTTGGACATGAAATAGCAAATTATTGATTTTGTCTTATATACAGCCCAATAATTCTTTCCTTTTCTGTGCAAGTTCACAATGCCCAAATAACAGTGACTTATTTTTCTCTGAATCTTTCACAAAACAAAAACAAAATTTTGCTTATTTAGTCAAGTTAACTCTTCAGCCAAGATGATATTCTTCAAAAAGCCAACGTTACAGCACTATAAAATATATTTTACTAGTATCATCTTCTTAAAACTGTATATATGAAATATATAAATTCTATTCCCTTTATATAAATAAAGTTAAAAGAGTTATCTAGAAGTGAAATGAGCAAAGGGATGACTCACTTTACAAGGTACTACTACCACCCATTCTCTGTCAAAAACACTGAGATCCAAGATACAGAGAACATACTTGAAAAGCTGACTTCTTTTAAATAAACTTAGAGCTAACTTCTAGTATTCACTCAAAGCAGTTTCCTCATAGCTTTAACTTCTGAATGTTTTCTTTAATTATCATGATGGAAATCTCACAAGCTAGAGTTTATTTTATTATTATTATTTTAAAAGCATGATATTTTTAAGATGAAAATTCTTCAGGAAGGGTTCTTTTTTAATTTTTTTAAAAAGATTTATTTATTTATTTATTTATTTGAAAGTCAGAGTTACACAGAGAGGAGAGGCAGAGAGAGAGAGAGAGAGAGAAAGAGAGAGAGAGAGAGAGAGGTCTTCCATCTGATGGTTCACTCCCCAATTGGCGCAACAGCCGGAGCTGTGCTGATCCGAAGCCAGGAGCCAGGAGTTTCTTCCGGGTCTCCTATGCAAGTTCAGAGGCCCAAGGACTTGGGCCATCTTCTACTGCTTTTCCAGGCCATAGCAGGGAGCTGGATTGGAAGTGGAGGAACTGGATCTCAAACCGGCGCCCATATGGGATGCTGGCGCTTCAGGCCAGGGTGTTAACCCACTGTGCCACAGCACCGGCCCCAGAAAGGGTTCTTTTAAAAAAAGATATATTTATTTATTTGAATCTCAGTTGCAGAGAAAGATCTTCCACCCTAAAGCCAGGATCCAGGAACTCCATCCTGGTCTCTCACATAGGTGGCAGGGACACAAGTACATGGACTGTTTTTTACTGCTTTTCTAGGTTTGTTAGCGGGGAGCTGAATCAGAAGCAGAGCAGGCAGAACTCAAACTGGCACTCAGATATGGGATGCTGGCATCATAAGTGATGGTTTAACCTGCTGTGCCACAACACTGGCCTCCCAGGAAAGGCTCTTAATCATTCAGGCAGTAGTGTACATTTTAACGGTGTGCTTTTTAACCTCTGTCTGAGATATGCTGACTCTTGAGGAGAGAGACAGTTCAATGTAGAAGCAGGCTGGACTGGCAAGAAACTTTAGACTGAGGTGTGAGGAAGGGTCAGGACAGCTGGGGCCAGGGCACAGGGGTAGGAGAAGATAGCTGAATGATTCAGTTGGGAGATTCAATATTTGCAAAGGCTAGTGGATGCTAATGTTCCAAAAAAATCTGACTGTCAAAAACAAAATAAGCATGAGAAAACTTTTTAATTTTTTTCTGATACCTGCATCTTGGTTCCTACTGTCAGAACTTATGACAAAGGCTATTGCTGATATTGCTATAATTTGAGGACATCACAGGGCAGGACTCTTGAGAACACGGCTGGAGATCTAATTATGCTTGTGAAATTATTTCTATTGTATATGTGCTCTAATTTCCTAAAACATGATTTACAAGTACACCTTCAGAATGTAGACTCTTTTTAAGAGGGGGTAGTTATGTTTTAATTCTACCACAGATTTTCAAATGGGCATAATATCCAAATGATTTGTAACTAATTTCATATTTTCTAAAAAGTTGGTATGATCTTCGTGGATGTTGGAAAATATGCTCTAAGAATGGCGTCCTGCACTTTCAGCTCTATCTTCAATTCATTTAATAAAATAGTTAGCTAGAGCACTTGTCATAGTTTCCATGGTAACAAACAGGATGACTTTAGTAAACAGAAAATAAGCAATTTAAGACTGTTCCATTAGAACTAAAAATAGAATTGCTTCAGGCTAGGCATCACAATACGCACTGGTTAAACAGAGTCTAAAGAGAAGTGAGAAATAGCCATTATGTACTTTCCTAATGAACCAAAATACATATTGATTTTACCACTTAAAATGACATTTTCTGGATCATTTAGAATATCATTGTGAATTTGCAGATTTGATACTTAGTAGTTTCAAATCTCAACATTTGGTGTGTACTGCTGACTGTAAAATAATACAGAGATGTTTGAGGAATCAATAAATAAAAAATATGAGTATAGACATCTAATCGATTTGTAGTAGAACAGAGTAATTTTGCTTTTGGTAATAAAAGGAAAATAATGTCTTTCAATACAAATACTTGTAAATTTACAGTTAAGTGCTAAAAATTATAAAATTATAGTGCTTTAGAAAATAGATGAGCTATATGCATAGGCCCTATAGCATACTGAATACATGTAATTAATCTGAGATTTACTGCCCACTGTCACTGTTTCCTGCATGTTTCTATTAAACAATATATCTTCTCTAAAGTCAACTGAAGACTTTCATATATATGTTTTTTTCTTTTAGTTTTGGAATTTAATACCTCCATTAATCTTGCATAGCTGCCTGAAAAGCAGACAATGAAAGGAGATACATGGAATTTAGAAGAGGAGAAGAAAAGAATGCATTTTATAGAGTAAAAATATTTTAGCTTGCACAGTTCTATAAATTCCCATGCTCAGACAAGACATTACTTTTGTAAAGTGATATGACCCAAAGAAATCATTACCATATTATCCTGAACATTTATTGTGAATGCAATATTAGGAGCAAGAATGATGGAAACACAATCCCACGAACACTAATCTAGTAATGATGAAAAAATAGTTATATTCAATAATTTGTAGATAAGAGAACTAAATAAGGAACTGGCATTGGACACAGTGGTTTAAGCCATCATTGCAATACTGGCATCCCACATGAGCACCAGTTGAAGCCCCACCTGCTACACTTTCAATCCAGCTCTCTGCTAATGAGTATGAGAAAAAAGTGGAAAATGCTTCAAGTACTTGGACCCTTGCCACCCACATAAGAGACCTGGATGAAGTTTCTGGCCCGTGGCTTTCACTTGTCCAGGATCCTGGGTGTTGTGGCCATTTCAAGAGTGAACAAATGGATGAAAAATATCTCTCTGTCTCTGTCTTTCTCTCTCTGTAACTCTGCCTTCAAAATCAATCAATCATCAATCAATCAATATTGTATTGAAAATATTGTATTCAAATGGAATTAATAATGCTTGTTAGGAAGTAACATTTACAATATCATTATCCATTAATTCCAAAATTGTTCATAGAATTATGCTATACTAAAATTAGACTCAATTTCAAGTTCATGCTGTTTCTCATGAATGAAAACATTCCTAATGTGGCAAAGACTATTCAGGAGGCGCAATGCTCATTTTAACACAATTTATGGAATATCGATTTTTAACTATGGCCATAGAGCAAGGGAACGCAGAGCAAGCCCAATAGTTGTGAAAGTTGTACTTTTGTTAATAATAGATTGCACATGCTTAGCTGCATTTTTTTAAAAAAGCTAGGTCTACTCCATCTGAACTGTATTACATATGTTTTGTTCTACTGTTCGTGGTGTGTGAGCAGTTTGGTACCTGTGAGAGGGGGTGGGGAAGGGAGAATGGATAAAGTCTAAGGAGAATGAAGAAGCCATAGTGAACTGATGTGCATGGTATGGAGCTAAGACTTTTCTCTGGATTATATGGGAAAGTTTTGGAGAGTTTTCTTTTGTACCTAATATGATTTAACTTAAAACTGTCATTCTGATACGTGCTTTGTTCAGAGTGCAAGCTTCACACTGTTCAGTAGAAGTCATCCCTGTGAAGTTCTTAGAACATGGCTTAGCATGGAGGAAAACTCAACAATGTGAGCTAGTATTTTTGCCTATTGTTGAAGGGTCTCCCGAGAAGCAAAGCAACTCTCAAGACTCTCTCTATTTCTTTCTCTCTCTCTTTTTTTTTAAGATTTATTTATTGGGGCCGGCATTGTGGCATAGCAGGTAATGCCACCACCTGCAATACTGGCATCCCACATAGGTGCCGATTTGTGTCCCGGAGGCTCCATTTCCAATCCAGCCCCCTGCTAATGCACCTGAGAAAGCAGCAGAAGATGGCCTAAGTGTTTGGGCCCCTGTAACCCACCTGTGAGACCTGGAAGAAGCTCTTGGCAGCTGGCTTCAACATTGTCCAGTCCCAGCTGTTTTTGCCATCTGGGGAGTGAACCACTATATGGAAGAGCTAGTGAACCACTATATGGAAGAGCTCTATTTCTGCCTCTCTCTCTTTCTCTCTAAAACTCTGACTTTGAAAGAGTTTAAAAACAGTTTATTTGAAAGAGTTATATAGAGAAAGAGAGGGAGAGAGATCTTTTATTTGCTGGTTCACTCCTCAAATGACTGCAATGGCTGGAGCTGGGCTGGGCCAGAAACCAGGAACCAGGATTCA